CTCAAATTGCACACTAAATTGCCTTACAATATATTTTAAGCTGAATAACATGTAAGTAAAGGTAAAATTCAGGCCATGTTTTTTCCCTGCTCAGTCTCACTATTACAACATTGAGTTTAAAGCTAAAGAATGACTTTTTAGTCTTAATACCTGCATGTACATGTCTGCATGTGAATTCATGACATAGAACCTCCTTATAGTCACTGTAGTGTCTTTAGTTGAGTGGGGACGGTGATTCAATTGATCAACTACCCTGCCTTAATTCAGTTGTTTAAATGAAGAGTCTAGTGATTTCCTATGGCATATCTCACCTGAGCTCCTGTAGCTACTGCTCCCAGAAGACGCAGATTCCCATTACATCCAACAACACATGTGTCAGCATTGTATGTTTGCCTGCAATGTGATTTGGCCTCTCAGAAACTTAGCCAACATTTAGGCAATACCCTTGAGTTGAAGTGTCCATTTCAGTGAAAGAAGAATCTTGTTCTAGTGTCCACTGACTGTACTGGCTGGGTATAACTCTACTAAAAGGACTTTCTAATATTTTCTCAATGATAGAATTATTTACATTTGTCAATACTTTGAATATGGTACATTAAAAAATAAAATCACTTTCTAAAAGAGAAAAGGAAAACATTGATTAAATCGCAGTAGCCGAATTACATTCCTGAAATAAACAAGGTGAAGTGTAATGGAACTACACATAGTATCTGATGATGAAAAAGCTCAGAAAAATATAAAACTGGTAAAACACTTTGTCAGAATTTACAATTTGTAATGTAACTGTGCAGTAACCTGTTCCCAAAAAGTGATCCCAGAAGTCTTAGCGATGCTTATCCGTACCTTCAGCATTATATAGCTTTGTCTGTATTTTCCCACCAGGAAGCTGATGCTTTAGCTGATGCTGAGGAAAGATGTGACCAGCTCATCAAAACCAAAATCCAGCTGGAAGCCAAAGTAAAGGAGGTGACTGAAAGGGCTGAGGATGAAGAAGAAATTAATGCTGAGCTAACAGCCAAGAAAAGAAAACTAGAGGATGAATGCTCAGAGCTGAAGAAAGACATTGATGACCTGGAATTAACACTAGCCAAGGTTGAGAAGGAAAAACATGCCACAGAAAACAAGGTACACACACCGGGAGTCACATAAAGGGCCAAGACATCGTTGTCTCTCAGAGTAAGAGCCTGCTAATGCAAGACATGTTAGCTTTGGAAACTTTTGATCTGGACCTTGTCTGAGCATCCAAAAAATAAATGAAACACCTGGCAAAACACTGCAAAGTGAAAGTGTCACTACACCAGTGAACATGTTTTCTACCAAATTTTGACACTTGCTCATATTTGTAGGTGAAAAACCTCACCGAGGAGATGGCAGCCCTGGACGAGACCATTGCCAAGCTGACAAAAGAGAAGAAAGCCCTCCAAGAGGCCCATCAGCAGACACTGGATGACCTGCAGGCAGAGGAGGACAAAGTCAACACGCTGACCAAAGCTAAGACCAAGCTGGAGCAGCAAGTGGATGATGTAAGCACATAGGCATGCAGCAAGAGCAGGACAGGTATGGAGTTAGTCCTGACCGGTGCAGCACTGATGATCTTGTTCATTGTAGCTGGAAGGGTCCCTGGAGCAAGAGAAGAAACTGCGCATGGACCTTGAGAGAGCTAAGAGGAAACTCGAAGGAGACCTGAAGCTGGCCCATGACAGCATAATGGATTTGGAGAATGATAAGCAGCAGCTGGATGAGAAACTGAAGAAGTAAGTTTGGCTGTGGGGCACTTGAGTGCTGGGCTGGTGCACTTGACTTTTTTCTTTGAACTGTAACATGGTTTGCTTTGCCCAAAGGAAAGACTTTGAAATCAGCCAAATCCAGAGCAAAATCGAGGATGAGCAAGCCCTGGGCATGCAATTACAGAAGAAGATCAAGGAGCTGCAGGCCCTGGAAGAGGCAGGAGGGGCTACTGCAGCTCAGATTGATATGAACAAGAAGCGTGAGGCAGAATTTCAGAAGATGCGCCGTGACCTCGAAGAGGCCACGCTGCAGCACGAAGCCACAGCTGCTGCTCTGCGGAAGAAGCATGCGGACAGCACAGCTGAGCTTGGAGAGCAGATCGACAACCTGCAACGAGTGAAGCAGAAGCTGGAGAAGGAGAAGAGTGAGCTGAAGATGGAGATTGATGACTTGGCCAGTAACATGGAATCTGTCTCCAAAGCCAAGGTATTGAAAAATATACTGAAAACAACTTCAAAATCAATACTGTTGAAACATACCTTTTTAGAATATGGTCATGTTACAGTATAACTCTGCCTCTGTATGGAACTGTGTTTCTGACTTTCTAATGGCAATGAGCAGTATATAGCTTTCATGTCTGTTCACATTACTCTGGTGAGAATCCTGCTGTTCAGAATAAGGAGGTGTCCAGATACTTTCTTTAATTCTCTGTGAATTTCACAGGCAAATCTGGAGAAGATGTGCCGCACACTGGAAGACCAGCTGAGCGAGTTTAAGACAAAAGAAGAAGAACATCAGCGCATGATCAATGACCTCAGTGCTCAAAGAGCTCGTCTGCAAACAGAATCAGGTGAGGGAGCCTCTTCTGTGCTGTGGAATTTGAGAGCATCCTAAACCAGCTTTTTTGGTCACGAATGACAATGAAAATATTTCCTTCCTGTGTGCTTTCCTAGGTGAATATTCACGCCAGGTGGAGGAGAAGGATGCTCTGATTTCTCAGCTGTCAAGAGGCAAGCAGGCTTTCACCCAACAGGTCGAGGAACTCAAGAGGCACTTGGAGGAAGAAATAAAGGTGATGACTTTTCGTGCAGCTGGCCATTGAAAACATTCTTAATTTCACACTGCCTAGTGAGGACGGGGTGTGCTTAGCACAGCCCATAGTGGGAGAAGATTCTCATTTCTGCAGTGAGTATGATTAGTTAATGGACACATATCGGTTCTTCATTAAAAGCATCCACACACTCCTACTGGTCATGTCCGCAGTGTTAAATTAATTCATTGTAAGAGATTCCCTAGGGTATTACCATTCATTGTCCCAATCCCACTCTCTGCCTAGGCCAAGAATGCCCTGGCCCACGCCTTGCAGTCTGCTCGCCATGACTGTGACTTGCTCCGGGAACAATATGAGGAGGAGCAAGAAGCCAAGGGCGAGCTGCAGCGTGCCCTGTCCAAGGCCAACAGTGAAGTGGCCCAGTGGAGAACCAAATATGAGACGGATGCTATTCAGCGCACGGAGGAGCTGGAGGAGGCCAAGTATGTGGGGACATGGGGGAAGACAAAAGAAGGGCAGAGTTTCGAGGGAAATTTGAAGACACAACTCAATACTGTCATAAACATTTAAAGCAGTACTCTGGGGCAGCGTAAGAGCTGAGGTATAGCATACCTTCCAGAGGAGGTGATTTAGGAAATGTAGAGGAAAATATTCCCCTTACCTAGAGAATGGTACAGAAAACCTGAGTACAGTAGACACAGCAGGAACAGTGATTGTTCAAGCCTGGGCATCAGAACTGTGAAAACAATGGCTGGCTGGGATGTGCATAGGATGCATACTCAACGAACAGGTAAATCATCTTGTGAAAAGCCACTCAGCCACACACCACAGTCTCACCTTTGCTCTCAAATCATGAGCTGTGCTTATCTCCTCCAGGAAGAAGCTGGCACAGCGGCTGCAGGACGCGGAGGAACACGTCGAAGCTGTGAATGCCAAATGTGCCTCCCTGGAAAAGACAAAGCAGAGGCTGCAGAATGAAGTGGAGGACTTGATGATTGATGTGGAGCGATCCAATGCTGCCTGCGCAGCTCTGGATAAGAAGCAGAAGAACTTTGACAAGGTCTTTTGGGCTCTTCATGGGGGGTTCCTTGGCAGAGCATGCACTCCTGATTGACACATCCATACTCACACTACATTTCTCTTCAGATCCTGGCGGAGTGGAAGCAGAAGTATGAGGAAACACAGGCTGAGCTGGAAGCCTCCCAGAAGGAGTCTCGCTCTCTCAGCACAGAGCTGTTTAAGATGAAGAATGCGTATGAGGAGTCCTTGGACCACCTGGAAACACTGAAGCGTGAGAACAAGAACTTGCAGCGTAAGTCCCTGGCCCTCTGCTCCTGGCAGGGCTTGCTCACTACCCACTGCTCCACGTGGCTCTGTGCCTGCAGGTCTGCAAAGATGCCTGTAACCTTGGTGTGACAGGGCCCTTCCCATTCAGCTCTGTGCCTGACCATGCTGCTGGTCTTTGTTCCCACAGAGGAGATTGCTGACCTGACGGAGCAGATTGCTGAGGGAGGAAAGGCGATTCATGAGCTGGAGAAAGTGAAGAAGCAGATTGAGCAGGAGAAATCTGAAATCCAGGCTGCTCTGGAGGAAGCTGAGGTACATGCCCATAATCACTGGTGTATGCACTAAAAATATGAGCAATGGGGAAATATGGCTAAAAACTGCTTGATGCCTCTCTGTTCTGGCTGGAGAGCACAGCCAGCTGAGGTTCCCTGTAATATTCTGTAATTGCCTAGAAAGCAAGTAGTAGCTTTACCAATGTTACAAATGTTTGTGTCCACTTGTTCAGGCCTCTCTCGAACATGAAGAGGGCAAGATCCTGCGCCTGCAACTTGAGCTCAACCAGGTGAAGTCTGAGATTGACAGGAAGATAGCAGAGAAAGATGAGGAAATTGACCAGCTGAAGAGAAACCACCTCCGAGTTGTGGAGTCCATGCAGAGCACCCTGGACGCTGAGATCAGGAGCAGGAACGAAGCCCTGCGGCTGAAGAAGAAGATGGAGGGAGACCTGAATGAAATGGAGATCCAGCTGAGCCATGCCAACCGCGTGGCTGCAGAGGCACAGAAGAACCTGAGAAACACACAGGCAGTGCTCAAGGTATGTTAAGATAAGGATGTGCACGTAGTTGTGTAGCTTGTCTAATATTGTGTAATCATTGAATAATAGAATGGCTTGGAATGAAAGGGATCCTCAAAGATTGTATAGTCCACTCTCTCAGCCATGGGCAAGTACCTCTTTTGCTAGATCGGAGTTCTCAAAGCCTTAGCCAACGTGACCTGAACACTTCCAATGATGGGACATCCACAGTGTCTTGTGACTGGATACCAGGGAGAAGAGATCAGCACCTCACTCTTAACTTCCCCCTCGGGAAACTGTAGAGAGCAGCGAGGTTGCCCCTCAGTGTCCTTCTTGGCAAACTATACAAACCCCGTATTCCCAAATGCTCCTCAGAGGATATGTCTTCCATCCATTTCATCAGCTTTTTTGCCCTCCTCTAGATATATTCACGTACCTTAACATCCTTTTTATTGATCTGCTGCTCACATTCTTAGATACTGTGCGTATATTGACATAATGATAGTTCTGCATATAAACTTATCTATAAATATTATAATGACATAATAATTATTAGACTGGTGGTAGCTGCAATTGTGCAACAGTGCTGTGGTGTCTTACAATTTCTCTTTCCTCTGTTAAAGGATACCCAGATACACTTGGACGATGCTCTCAGGACACAGGAGGACCTGAAGGAGCAGGTGGCCATGGTGGAGCGCAGAGCAAACCTCTTGCAGGCTGAAATTGAGGAGCTACGGGCAGCCCTGGAGCAGACGGAGCGGTCAAGGAAAGTGGCTGAACAGGAACTAATGGATGCAAGTGAGAGAGTGCAACTTCTCCACACTCAGGTTAGATTCATGAGATTCAAAATCTAAAGAGGAATTTTGTTCCCTTTCCATTTTCAGCTGTGTAAATTCTTAATTATCTCTTCTTAATTCTTAAGTTAGCTCTTGTAATAAAAAGTTTAACCTGAACCCGAATTTTTACCATTGTACAAAGAATGGGATCATAGCCAAATTAGCAGGATTGCATTAACAGCAGTAAGAAGTGCTTCTTAAAATATGACATGACAAGATGCATCATTTGAAGGAGTATGCCAATATTAGATATACAGCTAATATCTTTAAACACTAGATTTCTAAAAGAAATGTCCTGTTTTGGAACTAACTGGACAGTATTTTTTGTTGTTTGACAGAACACCAGCTTGATCAACACCAAGAAGAAGCTGGAAACAGACATTGCCCAAATTCAGAGTGAGATGGAAGATACAATCCAGGAAGCCCGCAATGCTGAAGAGAAGGCCAAGAAGGCCATCACAGATGTGAGTCGGGGGCTCCTTTCACTGCTGATGGTGGATGTATTCTTCCCTAGACTGTCTCCAGCCCCAAAATGTCTTTGATCCTTTGCTCTGCTCAGGCAGCCATGATGGCAGAAGAGCTGAAGAAGGAGCAGGACACCAGCGCCCACCTGGAGAGGATGAAGAAGAACCTGGACCAGACAGTGAAGGACCTGCAGCATCCTCTG